AATGGAAAAGGGGCATAATAGAACATTTAATAGTAACTGTGAAGCAGCAGAGACCCGACCCCCAAGACCAGAGGCAGACGAAAAAGGGGGGACCAGAGCCCAAGACCCCAGGAGGGACCCCGACCGCGGAGCCCCCAGGGCCACCCACACAGGACGAACCACTCACCCACCCCCCAGAACGGACCACAGGGGAGAACCGGAAGATCCCCACCAGCGACCACATACAGTGACCCCCCGGGGCCAACAGCGACAAACTCATAGGCCTCCGTCGGAACCCGCCGCACCGATGTAGGTCCAGGTCCGGGCACCGAGGCCCGGGCACCGAGGACTCACACCACCCAGGCCAAGGCCCGACAGGGCCAGAGGACCCGAGCCCCACCAGGCAGAAACCAGGCCGAGCCGACACAAGCCCAAGCGCCCAGCCCCCGATACCAAGGGCCCCAAGCGCGCCGGCAGGCAAGGGCACACCCCACCAGGGGGCCGCGCGATAGGGGCACGATGCCAAGCACCCCCAGTTGTATTAAAGAGGGGGCAGTCCGAGTCTCGGCCTAACAAATACCCATTCATACACAGACACAATCACACAATCCCAACCTCAATCTCACATTCACTCACTCAAAGACATACAATAACGATACATTTCATTCTTATTCCCGATACGCACTCTATACCCCCCAGGTCCAAGACATGTACCCGCCCTCTACAGGGGGCAGCCCATGCCCAAACCCAGGAGGTAAACCCATTCATTCTCGAGCGGAGAAGAGCCAATACCCCAGACCCGGCCCAGGCCATGCCCAGCCGACAGGACACCCCCCGACCATGAAGAGGACACGCCACCGACCACCCCCACACACCGCCAACAACCAAGCACGCGCCCCCAGCCGACCGCCTGCCAGGCCCCGGCAGCCACCCCGGCCAGCGGGCCAACCATGGCACCCAAGAGCCAAGCTCAGGGGGTCCAAACAACCCCAGGGAGAGCACAGCGCCAGCACCGCCCACGGCAACCCCCAGACCCTGAACCCCCACACAGTCCTGGTCAACACCCGACGGCCTGCCCTTCTCCCGGACCCCACCCCCGGAATGGCAGTCAGGGAACTAGGGGGGGGAGGAAAAAAAATAAAATAAAAAAAATAATAATAAAAAAATAATAATAAGACCCAGACACATACACCCCCGCCCCTAGATGTGCTGTTGATGTGTGTTGTTGTATAGTGCCATTAAAAAGGAAAGAAGAAGGAGCAAAGGCTGGCATGATGCCCGTTTCCCCTCCACCCCAACTCTATCCAAACCCTAGTGTCTAAATGCAACCATTGTAAGTGAGCACAGGCACAGGGGGTGGGAGTAAGGTCATCCCACCACCCATAGCCATGTGCCCACCTCAAGTTCCTATATGTGAATGGCATGAGGATGTTATGAATGAATGTCTAAGGTGTACAATAAAATTGAGTCCCAGGTGGCTATGGTCAACAAAGATGTAAAATTGTTGCAGCACACCCGAGCCCAAACAACCCTAAATGTATGGAATTGAAATGCAAATGAAATGCAGGACATGGCATCTACAAGTCTTAAAGTAAAAAAAAAATCCTGAGCGTGAAACTTTTGTGTGTGGTGGTGAAAGAATAAAATCATGACATATTACCAACGTAGGGCTGGACAATACGGACAAAACTTTTATCAAGATACATTTCTTAATTTCGGTCAATAACAATATAATTTGATATTGATATAAACAATATAAAAGCCTCAGAAAAACTGCACAAACTACAAAAAGAATTAAAGCTGCAAGCAGCATTGGAGGCCCTCGCATCAAAGCGCCACTCTGGACTTACGACGACCCCGGGAGCTCCAGCTAGTCCACCCAGTCATCATCATGAACGCTCTCGTGCCAATCCCGCACGCGTTCACCACGGGGCGCATTTCACAAATCTTTAACATCGCCTTCCGTCCATGTCGTTACTTGTCCAGCTGCAGGTCTTACAAGTATAGGTGAAATCTGACCTTCCAGACAGGAGTTATTGTGACTTCCTGTTTTGTGGCGAATGTTTGACAAGCACTTCCTTTCTGATTTTCAACATGTCGTGTGGTAATCAACAGTTGGCGAACAAAGTTTCACTCTAACGTCTCACACAGTGTGAAGCTGGAAGTGTCATCCAATAATCAACAGTTTTTTCTCTGAGTAGGTGGGGCTTAAGTGATGCCATGAATCAACAATACCAATGTGTCTACAATGCTCACTGATGCAGCACAAAAACTCAGGTTCAGATTGGACCATGTATCACTGAGATATAACTGTTGGAATAATGTAGGGGGTGCACTGGAGTCAAAAGTTAAACAACAATACCAGTGTGTGTAGAAGTGCTCACTGATGACGTACCCAAAATCTGGCCTAGATCGGATGATATATCACTGAGATATAACTGATTAAACGTAGGGGGCGCACTTGAGTCATATGTTCAACCACAACATCAATGTGTGTAGAGTGCTCACTGATTATGCATAAAAAATCTGGTTCAGATCGGATGATGCATCACTGACATATAACTAGTGAAATAATGTAGATGGTGCTGTGGAGGCTATTGGCCACTTATCATGGCTTCCTGTTCAAAGGGTGGATAATGATCGATCATAGTGATTTTGGTGCACCTCGGCTGAAATCTGTGTGATTTAGAGCAAAACGTATTGCAACGGCGTCACTTCTTAATTCGCCACGCCCACATCCTCAAGCAAAAATGATTTGCGCTTTAAATCAAGTCAGACCATATTATCTGTCTTCTAACACAAGATCATCCTGATTAGGTCAATGGTGTCAAAGAGGGAGCATTCCAAGTTAAAAAAAGAGACTTCCTGTTTCAAGGGGGCGGGGCTTTGATGACGTCAAAATATGACCACAGAAGATCGTCGGGCATCCAACAGGGATGACTCATGCCAAATTTCGTGCATTTCGGTCTTTCAATGTGAAAGTTAGTGTTTGGAAATTTAAGATATTTCTTATTTAGACTGGTTTTATGAGTTTGATCTGCTCAGAGACGGGATAATAATGAAATTATGACCCGGTTCTGACTGGGTTAAACTGGGCCAGCAAACTCTTAAGAGAGTCTCCCTGATCATTCAATATCTGGCAAGAAATAGTTTAATCAGTTTGCCACATCACTAGAAAGGCTCTGAAGCACCGTCTCATATTTCCTAACACGTCAGTCCACATAAGACCACACTTAGCCACGCCCCCTCATACACTGACAAGTTGAGCTCCGCCCTTCTGCGAAGGGCGGAGTCTAGGACCCTTTAAATTAATGATGACACGAGACATCGGGGCTCTTCCGGTTCTGTGAACGCATCACAGGATTGTGTAGAGTCCAGCGCTGTGAAATTGTAATCTTCTCCTGCCTATTTTAATATAATTGATAAAACTCAATGGACATTTCCTTGATTTATTGATTAGTATGAGTTGCCATTTCTGAGAGAGATAGAACCAGGGGAAGCGGTGGGGGCTGGCTGAGGGTTCAGGGTGAGACGGGAAGCCTGAGGCCCACAGCTAGCCGTAGCTAACTGCAGTGACTGACGACCCGCAGTCAGCTCCCATAACGCAACAGAAATTTATGGTGTGAAGTGAAACTTTGAGGCCCAGCCACGCCCCCTTTAACATCTACGAAAACGCAAGCTTTAGATAACTTTTATTCTCCAATGTCTTAAGGGCATATCAACCAAGTTTGAAGGCAATCCTTCAAAATTCCTAGGAGTTCGTTAAAACTCGCAATTAGAAACACCCAAAAATGACCCATTGACCAAAATGTCTGACTTCTTGTTGGTTTTGGACCAGGGCTCCAAGAGACTTTTTCATAGGTCCTGAGAAGATACAGATGTTCACCGAGTTTCAGAATTATCGGTCAAAAAATGACTTGTTGACAATGTCGGTTTTATCTTTTTCATAAAGTTCTGCTACAAGTTTTTGTCTGAAGTGTTGACGTGATGTTGTAGCGAGGCTCAGTAACTTTAAAGTCGGCGCATCAACAACAGAAACGTAGATCCAGAGCTTTAAAACCTTCTGCATCTTGTGTTATTGATCTGGGCCGATCTGAATTACCTGATAAAGGCTGTTTAAATGATGTTATCGCTCTTTGCAACAAGCTGCTAGAAGAGACGTTCACGTTCGGATGATGTCGTTTCAAGTTAAGTTGGACGTGTTGCTGCTGCAGATCCAGTCTCCATGAAACGACGTCGACTCACAGCTTTGGATTTGTTCACTTGTCTTTTAACAAGAAACATAATGTTCCCAAACAGGAGACCACAACGAGATGCTAGGCTGCTAATGCTGCGCGTGCTGCAAGATAATAGCGCCGTGCTGAAACACGCTTAGGAATTTTAGTTCCGTGGCGCATAATCTCTCGTTAATAAAATGTAATTAATAAAAAAATAACCGAAACGGTACGCAGGTGGACCGAACCGAACGTGCCGCACCGAAACGGTTTGGTACACCCACATGTACCATTACACCCCTATACATCACCGCGGGGGGGAGTTCTTCCCACCAGAGTCTCCACTCTATCTATGCATCTGCCGTTTGACCACAAATCTATCAAGAAGAAAGCGCCACACTTTTCAGCAGACAGAGTCCTCCATACACGATGTCTGCACCATCTCCATCAAGGACTTTTTAGCCATTTGTCTAATTTAGTGTATTTCTTTAGTCATACAGCTGAATGTCCGAGCGCATTGTAGCATTCAGACAAACATGCCCACAAACTTCTGACCAATCACATAATACTTGCACTTTCGTCTGTGAGAAGATGTTTGGCCCAAGCCCTGTGTTGCAAAGGGCTGTGTGAAGCTACTCTGAGGACAAAATAATACGATGTTCATCACACAACTAGGTCAACGACAGACGATTGTGCTGCTTCAGATAGAGCATGCAGGGCTCTGACAGCTGCATACTTGCTATAAAAGTGCAGAACTAAAAGAACTAAAATGAGTTGCATGAGCAAAGCTACAGCAACAAGCCTTACCATTTTTTCCTCTGGCAGTATGAGAGGTTTTGGCCTTGCCGTGTCCTGTTCCCTCGCCGTGTCTGCTGACAGGACTTTCGTCTGACCGCCGCAGCACCTTGTAAGGGGGCATGGACTCCGCTGAGCTGTCGCGCACCTTGTTGAAGCGCTGAAGGCTGCTGAACTGGCTCTTTGGCAGGGATTTATGGGGCTAGAAAGGGGAGCACATAGACACATATGTTGGTGAATGTTCAGTTTTACAGCAAGACGCACCAACTTACTGTTAACAGTAAAAAGTCCAACTCATACAGTAGATAAGTTAATGTAGTCATCACTGCTAATAAATCCTAAAACCAGGGGGACTGCTCGATCTAGAAGCTGGAGAACAAACGCTCTGTCTCTTATAAAACACAACTGAGACTTTAATAAAACACAACTGAGACTTTTATAAAACACAACTAAGACTTTAATAAAACACAACTGAGACTTTAATAAAACACAACTGAGACTTTAATAAAACACAACTGAGACTTTAATAAAACACAACTAAGACTTTACTAAAACACAACTAAGACTTTACTAAAACACAACTGAGACTATACTAAAACACAACTAAGACTTTACTAAAACACAACTAAGACTTTACTAAAACACAACTAAGACTTTACTAAAACACAACTGAGACTATACTAAAACACAACTGAGACTTTAATAAAACACAACTGAGACTTTAATAAAACACAACTGAGACTTTAATAAAACACAACTGAGACTTTAATAAAACACAACTGAGACTTTAATAAAACACAACTGAGACTTTAATAAAACACAACTAAGACTTTA